TGCATTTACGCTAATCTAGTATGATTCAGGGTTACTTTTTTTTTAACCTGCCATGGCCAGATTATCTAAAGATGTGTGTATTGTGTGTACAATCTATAGAAAGAGAAATGTACATCAGGTCCGATCATCCGATTTTCACGTTTCGGTTTTTTGGACTCGGTTCATGAACGTATTTTGGTTTGGCTCCTGGAATGTGCAAAAAAATGACTCCCGGGACTGTCTACAGGGAACACTCGCACATTCGCGGTGTATCAGGACAGCGCGACTGGTCGTCATTAGCGCAGTATACGTACGTAACAGTTGCATAAACGGACGAAACCATTTCAAAGAAATGGGGATGTTTCGAAAATAAGCATTTACTCCAATATCAAAACAGCTACGGTAAAAATAAAAAGACGTGCATCATCCCGGACATAATGCAACACCACATGCGAAATTACACAGAAATGCGACGTACGGAAGAATGCGTTTTGGCTGCGAACATCTTCCAAAAAACTTGGCATCTCTTAACCATGGGCAAAAACATCTGGAACCACTTATAAAAACCACCCCGTATCTGCATGAACTTTTTTGAACCCCACTGCTATTCCAAACAACGCGTTTTTCTGGACCATTCCAATTCGCCTCGTAATTGTAGGGGTGCGTCTGCGATATTACATTGACCGCGAAAGCAGCAACGGCAAAAATACACATTCGTGCATCAACACGGGCATGCCCGCAGACGGCGTATAAAATTGCGTGCCGATTACACAAAGAGAACCCAGTGTTTTGACTGCGAACATGAAAAATCAGCCGATTACAACACTCCGTCCGGAGGTCCTGACCTCCTTCACGGAGTAATAAGAAGCAGCGCTATTTTGTTGAAGACCAACTTACTTCTATGACTTTTCTACAAGTCAATAATATCAATTCTAAAATAGTATCATTTCTGTCATAGCGACATCGATAGGTCATTGATGTATTGTCACTGCTATAAGTATATAAATTGGTGTGTTATGAATATAATTGTCCATTATACTCTAAAGGGCATTTAAATGCGGTTTGTTTTGATATCTGAACATTCATGTCAAGTCTCGCGTGGTTCTGCGTTGTTCAACGAGAGTTAATGCCTACAGAACCCCGTGATTTTGTGATTTTAACACAATGACTACGAAAGAAAATCTTGTAAAGGAGGTATAGTGGAAGAGCGTTTATATTTCATGCAGTTTTAGATGTTAATTTTTTTTTTGCTTTTATTTGGAAGTCAATTCTTCAGATATGGAAATATATGATATGATATGATATAAAAATGTGACCACAAGGAAACTGAATTATTCATCATTGCAGGCTTATGTCAACATAAAAGCAAATATATCATAAACATTTCGAAGAATTAGTCAATACCTTTCGAATCTCGTGATTATTCAAAGTAGTGAAAAAAATTCCAATATCTCCCAATGATGTTCCAAACTCGGATTCTTCATATATACTGGTATAAAACTACCATCAAGACCATGTTGAAATGAAACCTGTAAATAAGCTTCCACGGGTGTTGTCTTTTTTCTGAGTAGGCACAACTTAGCAAGGAATGGTTGAATTTTGAACCACACTCAGTGATAATTTAATGATACTTTCCAGATTAATCCCCTACCTCTAAAAATTCTAACGTAAAGTTGCCAGATACAAACTCTACACATAGATTTAGACAGGAATGTCCAGTCTTTCTTTTTCAATACCAAGCCGATTTACTATACACAAGGGTCCTGTCACACATTCAGAACCTTCCCACGACCACCAAACAACCAAAATCGGCTGAAGTTCGGGAGTCGTCTGACCAGATTTAGGCCACGCCTATCTTTCTATACGAATCAGATCGATTTTGTGTTAAATTAGAGTAATATTTGACGTACCCCCGAACACCGCTGACCTACTCGCGAACACCGGCCAACTATGACCAAACCTCTCGGACGAACTTAAATATCCACTTTTTGGTCCACTTTTTATCTAAAGGTCCAAGATTTTTCTTTAAAAGACGGACTGATTCGTGTCACCAGCGGGGCTGGAATCGTAATAAAATTGCTCACTCTGTTATTGAATAAAAAGTTATCTGATTTTTTTTTCTTTGTAATCGTCTCAAAAAACGCAAGAAATGCCATTTCAGAAGGTTTGTTTTTTAAAATTTCCCGGGCTAGCATGCCCCCGGACCCCCCCTCCCCTCGCTGGTCCCCTCAAGCAGTGGGAAGACCCCCCCCCCCTTCAAAATCCTGGCTACGGGCATGTGTCCTCTTCCTAATGTTTGTCCACTATCCATCCACTCCGGGGCTTGTTGTGACAGTTTAAACAATGCCTCCTATCACTGAGAACACGTACCTAAACAAATGTTTTGTAAACATAGCAACCGATGGAGGATATTATCCCGACAAATGGCTTTTTGAGAGTTCTTTTCCTGATGTGTCGAACTGAGTTGACGTCAGAATACAAATATTTTTGTAGAGAGAACAAGAGTTGTGGTGCAGTGACGGGTGGATAGATTGTCCGGAGGGCCGTTGAGCGTACTTAGAGCGGATTAACAAAGGATTATCCCACAAAGATATCGATGTGTATGTTTAATACTGCGTAGCCTTTTAACATTTTTTTGTGGGGAGGGGGGAAAACAAATTTAGCAAGACGAAATAAGACGTGTCGTTGACGAGATTTGGAGACGTTTTGTAAATATATACATGTGTATTTGAAAGTTTGTCATTTGTTATGGTCATTTTTATTGCCTAGTTTGGTCGTTCTATTCCGTTTCGCCATTCTACCACGTATTGTGCCTACACAGGGAAGTATAGTATGCGTTTTTGTATCAAATGTTTCTACACAATGTACTATATTAGTAGAGTATGTGTTCTTGTGTCAAATGTGCCTACACAAGGAACTATAGTTTGCGTTTCAAATGATTTTCAGAATATTTCTCTTTCCTATTTCATTTGCTTGTACATGTGCAACTCACTTTATAACAATGGCTATAACTAAAAACTGCCACGACAACCTAAAACTCTTAGTGACGCGGACCAACCTACTACTTCCTTCTCTCTTCAGTGAAGAGTTTGCGTAAGTCCGGAAGGCAAACGAATGGAGCACCTGTACTGAAAACTACACAACCACTAGTAGTGTTCCCGGCCCGCTCTGTGTGTGTGTTTGGTCAAATTTGTTGCCAACGGTGATGGCGGGAAAACACGGGGTGTTATCTCGACCAGGCCACGCCAGGCGACACGGGAGGGTGTGTTGTCCGGCAGGTTAGTTCGTGACCGCAAGCCGCAGAAACACGTACTACTCAGGTGGGTAAAGCTTGGACAAAATCCGTCAGATTTTTACCTCAGGGAAAAGGTACTGTTTTCGGTCGTGTTTTTGTGTTCGCAGCTGTAACTCACGTTTGACGGATTTCTGTGATTTTCGGCATATATGATTAGTTATTGGGTCCAAACGATGTTTTTTTTTTGTCTTTGTATCTGTATTTTCATGTATTGAAAAAAATAATAATTCGACACCCTTGCGCTGTATGTGGTCTACCAACAGCAGTAGTTGTCCACCAGGCTATACCACATTACATTCAGTAGAGGGGGGGTATGTTGTGTATATATTATAATTGTGATGCCTGAATTTGTCAGCAGTTGTTGTGAACATTATGCATGATGATAATTCCCGGAGATTTTGGAATCTCAGATCTCTTGCTGTGCTTGACAGCACAGGTTTAGAACACTTCACATATTCTGTAGTGACAGGCAGGGAGAGAAAAAATTCACGGTTTGATATATACATGATAGAATGTATAGAAGCTGAGTGCTATTAATTATTTTACATCTAAAGTGCATGAGCAGCGTCCAGTATTAATAAAGTATCATTTAGCATCATCTGGACTGGTCTTAGCTGCAAGAAATATTCTTACAGAGTCATGGGAATAGAAATTTCAATATCCTACCTGTTTACTGTTACTAGTAGAACAGGCCAAAATAATATTATATCGTACCGTCGCACAAAATCTCAGATATGCAAATATTCTTTGCATGTTTCACGTAGCCATGTGTGTTGTAGCCAATGCTGAAATTGTGTTTCGAAAATATAGGCAAGGCAACAAAATGGGTTTGAAGTAGCTTCGTACAACTCACTCGTTCTATACTAATGAGTTTGACAACCAATCTCCATCTCGATCTGTATCTGTATCTGTACAGCCGGTATAACCGCCTTTCGGCGTAACATTCGCACCAATTTTCTCGATATCACAACAGCATTCGAATTCGTTTTAAAAAGACATGTTTTTACTCTTAGCCATAGACCCAAAACGGCGTTTAAAAACGTTTTTCAGAATTATTTTTCATCAATAGAGATATAATTTCTAACAGGTGTATGTGACGTTCTGCTTGCCACACGTGTCTCTATATCGAGTTTTGTGTACAAGGTCCAAGGGTACCCGTACATTTGTCACAATTAACCCGGTTATAATGGTAATGGTATGAGTACATACCTTGGTTTCATTTACCCTTGTCTAAATCAGAGGCCCAACGAATTCGTCATTATTAGGCAATTATTGCGGCAACGTACGTGCGTACGGTCACTCTTCGGTATCATTGCGAAACCCGCTACGGTATACAATCATCATCATCATGTCGGGAGTACATGTAGTTGTACATGTACAATACAATACTTTATTGACACAACAAAAGTACAGCGCTTTTCGTAAGCCGATAACTAAACATAGAAATAGACGCGTGGATACCAAAGAATTAGCCTATTAGAAGTTTATGAATGAATCAACATGTTGGTTTTGACACATCACATATACTACTAGTTCTAAAGGTCTAAACATTTGTAACAGTGGGGGGGGGGATTAAAGGCGCTACCAACTGACCCAAATTGACTTTGAAACTCCAGTTTTTCCGCCCTGAAATTGTTTTGGGTGCCTTTAAGAGAAAGTATGATACTAGTCTCCTGACCTCTGTCACCCTTGCGTTTGTTGTATCAATTCATTGTATTAGGTTCCTCCCAGGGTCAGCCGTTGAAGAGGACAACCATGGGAAGTGGAAGTTCCACACCTCGGCAAAAAGAAGCCAAACCCAAGACCAAGTCAAAGGTGAGATCGTCACGGCCCGTGTGACAGTTAGTCTGTGTGATTGACAGATTAACTTCTTATACATGTATAGCAAAAATATACATCCATAGAAACGGTTGACAGCAACCCAAAACTGCATGTTACACAATAATTTATCACTTAACATCTACTTACCACACACACACTCACATCTACTCACCACACACACACACACACACACACACACACACACACACACACACACACACACACACACACACACACACACAATCACACAATCACACACAGTACATACATACATACATACACACACATATACACACACACATACACGATGATTTTCAAATCGTTGGCATATTGTAAATATATATAAATGTGATAAAAAATTATATGAAGTTTTTTACTCCTTTGAGCAATCTGTTATACATACTTCAGATCATTAATTCTACTAAATAAAGTTCTCATTATGATGAATGATTTCATCATAACTCACGACAAGCTGTGCCTAAAAACGCCACAACGGTCCTGCTAGTTGTCATATATCAACTTAAGTTATAGAAACAGTTTACAAAACATTATTGTGATCCAATCATTGCCAACTTTCGAAAAGACTATAATCGTCTGTGCATCTTACTTGCATGTAGCCGTTTAACTTACAAACCAATTGTATAGAGTATACTTCTAAAGGCTTTATAAATTGTGCGAAATATAATGAGGAGAAATTTTCCCATCATCTTTTATGCTTATGTCATCAGTTTGTGTGCTCGCGTCCGCTGTTTGTATGCACAAGAAGTGTTGCCAAGCCAAATGTTGCCAAAACGACAAGGCCACACCAATTTAATTTGGTTCTGGGATTTTTTTATAGAAAAAAGTATGAAGCGACAGGGCGAAAAAAATAAAAAATAAAAACAGGTCTAAGCATCCTATTGTAGCCCCAAATGCGTTGATAGGAGCCATGAAGTCAACACAAAAGGCTGGGTTAAAATTTCAACAATGAATTTTGAACTTTTAATCAAACCACTGCATTGATAGATGGAAAAACTGTAAGATCTCGGAAGAAAATAAGTTTTCTCGACTGTTGGGGGCAGAATATGAGCATTTTTGAGTTGATTCTGAACGAGAATCTTTTTTTTTTTTTTTTGCAAATCAGAAAAAAATGAAGAGGCGAATCCGAGAACCAACAAATTGAATTGGTGTGGCCTAAGGAAGCAAACAAACTACAAATTGTAGATCCTCCACAGCAGGGTAAAGAGATCATTCATCTGTAGTCTACAAACACCCATCTTCTTGTGCTTCCCGTTCGAAGTGTGTATCCAAACAAGCGACCAACTTTACTACAATGGCCACTCGTTGTGTTTGTTTGCGAACAAAACACCCCGATTGAGGTCACCGTCCTTACTACAGGAATATTAAGTGGCGCAAGTGGAGGGTAAACAAAATAACACGGCTCTGGGCGAACATGTCAAGAATGCTTTGATCGTGTGATGTGGTGACGATGCCTTGTTATACGTTAGTATTGGGTCCAGCTGAGCCGCAGTGTTCAAGTGGTCATAAAGCATGTGTAATAGATCACATTGAGACGGAGAATGCCTCGCATATTAGGCAGGGTTGTAGACGGAAATACGCTGCTTGCTGTACAACTGGCGTTTAGCGAGAAGTTATGGTCAGGCCTGGTTAGAGTTGCATGTTGGTGACGGAAGCCTTCAATATTGCTACCTCGTCTCCACGGCCAGAAAAAAGTAGCCTCTACCAGGCTTCGGGAGGCGGTTGAAAGAGTATAGAAATCGGCCAAATAGAGAGATAGCATGCCAAAACGAACAGTTTGCCGCTCGGGTGTGGCAAACTGTTCTCTCCAGCATACCAACTCCCCTGGCATGTTATCTCTCTTTGGTTGATTTCTACTCTTTCCAACCGCCCCCCGAAGCCTGGTAGAGGCTACAGAAAAAAAATCATTAACATTAAGTATATGAGAAATTCGGCTCAGTTCAAGAAAGGAAAGGGAACAACACATCTTTTCTATGAGTCTTCAAGGCATCCAAAGGGCGGGAAAAAATGCTGGATGAGGAAATCTGTCTAATAATTGACAGTTACTGTTACTTCTTGTTATTTCATCATCATTTCATATTTAAAGCATTTGAAATAGCCTCAAAACAAGCTACAGGTGAGGCGTCTCTTTATTTTCTTAGTACCGCTCATAAATAGCTAAAAGATCCTAAAACTAGTAGCCTATATACAATATAAAGCGAGCAACCGTTTTCTGTCAGCGTCTTCGCATTTTTGCCTTACAGATATCAGTATGCTATGGAATAGGATTGACTTAACTTACTGTATTAAAAGGCTGGCCAGAAAATTGACTTATTTTGCCGCCCATAAATTGCATTGGATGCCTTTTTAAAATGCCCAAAGTATATTTAGCTATTCACTGAAATTTCAATTAAAAAATTAAAAGATGGGAAAAATTAATTATACGGACCGTAGTATTTATTTGCGTTGTGTCTAGTCGGTATGTCACAGGTCACTTTGGAATAAAATTAACGGGTCCCTGACTACTGGGCGACTTTTTGTCAATTGATAAATCACTTGTATTTGATTTTGTATATTTCCCATCTATTACCTACTACCTCACCTCGATTGTAACAAAACATTAAATGTAACGTTTAAATCCTCATATGTCATGTTTGCAAAATATCGCTTTTAAAGGCATCCAATGCGATTTCAGGGCAGCAAAACTGGAAATATTCTGAATAAGGCAATCTCTGTGATATTGACACATACTGCTTCACATTAGCACGTTTTGAGTCAGTATTTTATACTTTGGGCTTTGAAAACTGCAGAAACAAGCCCCAAGATGAGTCCTTTATTTTCTGGGTGGTACCCTAAAAATCAGCCCAAGGCCTTTCCAGTGACCATTTTCCGTCAGAATTTTGGGAAGTTTTGCCTTGAGGGTCAATATACATTTGTAGTGTATGGTTTCAACTCAAATGGCTAGAATATTGCGAAAATCGGGTTTCCAAGCCCTAAACACTGCACTGGATGCCTGTAACGAGCTACATCCTATAGCGACAACGGCATATGTACGTGATGTCATATATACCACAAGGAAAATAATATATCATCAACAAATTTCCTCATCAATTTGACCCTATGTTCCCCAATAGAAGCACAGAACCAATTACAGAAACTTAATTAGAGCCGACTTGTAGCCCAGAGGGGTTTCCATAAGATTCCTTTCTGAAAATATGAAGATTAAACATAATTCATCTATCATCCAACGCTAATTACACACGAGGAGGGAGACTCTAATATGGTAAGTAATTAAGAGATTAAATAAGCACAAAATTGAATTCTAATCGCACCGTTGTATATTGCGTCTATAATTCTTCTTTAATTAGCATGATAGGGATCTTATACACGTTGATTTGGTGTAGCTGACAGCTGCAAAAAGATATATCTAACGTTACACTAAGTGCACATATTTGTGTCTCTACATTAAAGGCATTATTCATTAATGCGATTTCAGAGCAACAAAACTGGAAATATTGTGAATAAGGCAATCTTTATGATATTGACACATACTGCTTCACATTAGCACATTTCAATCAATATTCAATCAATGCAGAAACAAGCCCTAAGATGAGTCCTTTATTTTGTGAGGACATGAAAACTGGAAATATTCTGAATAAGGCAATCTGTATGATATTGACACATACTGCTTCACATTGAGTCAGCATTTCATACTTTGGGCTTTTAAGTTTTAAAACTGCAGAAACAAGCCCCAAGATGAGTCCTTTATTTTGTGGGTAGTGCCCTAAAAATCAGCCCAGGGCCCTTCCAGTAACCGTTTTCCGTCAGAATTTGGGGTATTTTTGCTCCATGAGGGTTAATATACATTGGGATAGTGTGATTTCAACTTAGTATGTAGAAAAGTGAGTACAATATTGACTTTGAAAAATCGGGTTTCCAAGCCCTAAAAACTGCATTGGATGCCTTTAAGAACAAATTTGAAAATGCGTTTGTATCCCTGCTTTCAAGTATCGCTGCTGGTTTAGACACGTAATTATAAGTATTCAATTAGTTTCATGGAGCCGTCATCCTATAACTTATTGCTTACTTATTCAGCATATTTTCGTAAAAAGCAAAAATTGACAAACACTAACGCATTGTGATAACATCCAAACGCAACCAAAACTATTTGGTGATACATAAACAGTACTAGTGACCACTCTTATGCTGTTAAATATATTCATACATTTTCGTTTTACATTTGTGTGATAGGTATATACTTATTCCCATGTATTCACATTCTAAAAGTCAGAATTACCCATCGATGTTGATCGGATGCCAATCATTGCTTGGTATTATTCTAATGACTAGATCAGAGAAACCCCTAAAACTATACGTTTTGTGTGAAAAAAAAACAAACATTACAAGGCCGGTCTACAAACTTTTTCTAATCTAACTGAAAGTATCTTTTGTTTGTATCAACTCCAAAACTTTATCAAAGTTTAACAGTCCATTCTTTTTTCGCTGTAAGTGCTGTTTGGCTCATGTTCGGTGATCACTTTGTCGTATACTATATAAGCTTGTCAGTACGAGCCAGTTTCAGGTGTAGCGTATGCGCTAATGGTTTTTCCTTCATTTCCCGTTTCAGCCTTTTTTGGCTGAACATTACGGGGCAAATGGCCCTATTGGCAAACCCTTGGGTATTCACTCCCAGTGTTAACGAGCTCGGTAAACTAGACAAGTGTTAAAGAGTCCCATCTCGCTCCGTCTGAAAACCCGTCCTCTGTGCACAGCCCCGCATTGTTTGCTATTGTGTATTATCGAAAAACATGCGTGGTCCTTATCAGTTTGAATGGGCTATTTTGCTGGAATGACGCTGAAATGGCTATAGGAAACTGTTCATCAACACGGCAGCCTCCGCGGAATGACTCTACTGAGGGAAGATCACCACACAGTCAATTGAAGCTCCGAGCCTGAAAATTATGACCCAATATATTGAAGTCGAGTGGCAAAATGTAGATAAATTTGCCAGATAGGGTGTAATGCCGGCGGTCGATGTTTTCCCCATTTAGGCGGGTATCTCGGGCCGACAGAACCCTATCGAACGGCTTGCGCTTTTCCGCCAACGACATCTTGGGGGGAAAGATTAATTGTAGGTGAAAACTCTGCTGTCATTTCATTAAAACTCACTCAGATAGCACTCATTGCTTCTAAACGGGCCCTTCACCCCACGCCGTCTATTTACCGCGCTCCCCTTTCAGTCGACAGATGCTTGTCTCTTGTAAGCCTGGTGCTTAACGTTTATCGGCCTGTTTAGTCACTGCCAAGGTGCATAGGCATTTAGGCGGGAAAAGACAACTCTCTACACGACCAGAATGTATTGCCCTTCTTATCTGACGATGTCTCCTGGCGAGTCAAAATTGGCACATTAATTTCCCTCGTCAGCGGTAATGGCGTGCAATTGATGACGACGGGTACGGCTGTAACATCCTTCCTACAAAGAACTGCTGCAGCTTTCGGTCGATCACGCGAGTAAGATATAGCGTGGATTTTCCTAACTGATATAGAAAGGAGCGGTGAGTGATGAAGCGGCGTAATCAGGTGCTAAGAAGACGCATTGCTAATAATTTTCGACATGAATGGGTGCGGATGGCTGCGTTCATCTTTCTGCCAAACGAGTTGGAGAGAAAAGCCGCCGCTCTTCCAAATTACTCTTTAACAACTTTTCGCGGTCTGTTTTTTTTTTACTTGCACCTGCGTGTTTTTTTTTTTTACTGGAGATAACTTCTATTGTGGTTAGGCAACGTCTGTCAAGATCTGTGATGTAGATCGACAACAATTTATACATGAAGTCAACTAGTCTGTATTAGTTATATTTACGGATTTGTAAAGGAAGCGTAAAGATATGAAATGTTTACGTCGTATTTAAGCACACTGAAAGGTGACGGAAAGGCGGAATTTGCCTTTCAGCAGCCTTTACGAAGTCGCAAAGTCTACTGAAATATTTTCTCAACTTTAATACTTCTTTACATATTGCGGAAAGTTTGCTTAAATGTCTCTTTTCGTGCTGTGTGGTGGATGAAGTTGCTTGGGTGTTTTCTTAGTGTTAATTGATACACATACATTTTGCTTGAACTGCGGATACCCATGTAAACCATTATCACCAACAGTTATAATATGTGCATCTTTTTTATTGATACTATCACTTGTGATTTTTGACAGAGCGGTCGTAAACTGAGAGGTTTTGCATTAGACGTTGAATAATCTGATTTCCACTTTCCTGAAATAGACGATATGCTTCTACAAAGTGTAATACGCACATCATTTGCCATCGCCGTAGTAAAATCAAAGTTAATAATATTTCACTACATGGATGGTTTTCATACAGTCATTAAAAAGAAGATAGCAATGATATATTTCTTTCTTAGGGCCACAGCAATTTAATTTGTTGGTTCTCGGATTCGCCTCTTCATTTTTTTTCTGATTTGCCCAAAAAAAGATTCTGGTTCTGAATGAACGCAAAAATGCTCATATTTTGCCCCCAACAGTTAAGAAAAGTCCCTTTCTTCCTAGTTATTACAGTTTTTCCATCTATCAATGCAGTGGTTTGATTAAAAGTTAAAAATTCATTGTTTAAGTATTAACCCACCCTTTTGTGTTGACTTCATGGCTCCTATCGTAGCATTTTGGGCTATAAGGGGATGCCTTGACCTGGGTTTTTTTCGCCCTGTCGCTTCATATTTTTTTCTGAAAAAAATCCGAGAACCAACAAATTACATTGGTGTGGCCTAACTATTCTTTACAACTTTGACACAAAACAACATACATGTACTTGTCGTGTCTATGTCGCTTTCCCACATGACATCTGACCTCACCCAGCATGCACTGCGGTGCCCCGGGGTTTTGTAATCGGCATCACGGACACCTCTTTAAACCAAAGAAAAACAAACAGTACAAGATTTCCTCAAAGAAAACACGCCACCCATACAAAACATAAAGAAAACAATCCTTTTCCGGTTCACATCCCTGGAAGCTTGTCGCTACGATCAAAAAGTCGTCTGCGGAGAGGTCTGTCAAGGGTCGATGGGCGTTTGAAACCCACCCTGAGTACGTATACAATTATGGTATTAACCGACTTGTATACGTTAGAATAGGAGGATTAGGTTCCAATTAAGTGTTTAGCCACTTCAGGTGAATAAACAACTTGGGAGGATAAGTGTTTCCCACAAAACATCTCAGATCAACTGTGCTGGTTTCACATGCGGATGGCGATTAGAAATTCATGTCAAGTTCCGATATTTTACTTTGGCTATATAGTAGGGAGGCAATGGGAGATAGCAGACTTCATCCCCTTACCCATGATTTGCCATCGTTCTGGTCCCATAGGCAAAAAATGAAGCGCAGAGGATGTGTGGCAACACTACATTTGTGGCGTATACTAGGTGTTGCAAATGCACAGACAGACAGACACACACAAACACACACACACACACAAACACACACACACACACACACACACAAGCCCGAAACGGTCATTCATTTGAATGCATGTGATTTAAAAGACAAAATTCTTATAATATTCTAGATATCACAATTGAGATACAAGCCCATGTGATCATACCGAGTAGACGACATTATGTAGTTATATTACAGTCCATACCATGGTATGGATGAAATATATTGTTTTCCCTCGTGTTTCTTCTTCTCCTGCAATTTCTTTAAATGGATTCAACTCAGCCATTTTTCAGCCAAATGACCTGAAATTTGGCATGAAGGCACAGTGGGCTAATACCCTAGACGTTTTTAAAACAGGCCTTTAGAATTGTTTTATTTGTTGTTGTTTTTTTCCTTTTTCAGTAACAAAAATATACATTTTGGGATCTGGAGCCCTAGTACTAAAGCCAAATGACCTGAAATTCGGTATGGGGATACCTTGGACAAATGTCTACAGAACGCCATTCACGCTTTTGACATACATCACTTCAAACTTGTGTAAAATAGAGTTTTTTTCTAAGTCAGTCTGGTTTTCTTCTAGTCCTTCAGGTTTCACTACTTCGATGGGAAGGGCAGGGGAGAAGTGGTGCGCCTCGCTTTCGTCCTGGCTGGTTTAGACTTTGATGACGTCAGACACACTGCGGAGGAATGGGCCAACATGAAGCAGAGTACGTACACGCATGCGCATCTTTTCTTTCTTTCTTTCTTTCTTTCTTTCTTTCTTTCTTTCTTTCTTTCTTTCTTTCTTTCTTTATTTCTTTCTTTCTCTTTCTTTCCTTCTTTCTTTCTTTCTCTCTTTCTTTCTCTCTCTTTCTTTCTTTCTTTCTTTCTTTCTTTCTTATGGTATTATACATAAACGATGATACAAAAATGCAAAATTAAGTAAGTCATCCGTGACTCTTCAATGGGAATTTGGTTTTTCTGCCAGCCGACTTGCGTCCTGTTGATGTTCATCCATTGACTACGTCAAATACACAGCCTCTACCAGACTCATTGGGTTGCTTATACCCCCATTCCACTTGATAGCGCTCTTTTCTGCGACCTGAAATTGGTCGGAGTGCGGAGAGAGGGCCTAGAGATCGCCAAAGTCGTTATGTTTGGAATATAAATCACTGTTTTTGCGCTAAGGTTTGAAGCACTCACACAACCTGTCACAGGGAAGGTCCCCTACTCTTTTCGATAAGTGCGTTGGGTTCTTTAACGTGCGTGGGGTGTGGCTCTCCCCAAACACGGGACCTCCATTTAACGTCCTATCCGAGGGACATCCCTACCTAAAGCTAGGTACTCATTTACATCTGAGTGAAGTGAGGAAAGTCGTGTAAAGTGCCTTTCCCAAGGATACAAGATCGGTGACATGGCAGGATTCGAACCCGAGATCTTTTGGTTCCGAGCCGAACACGCTACCATTACGCCACACGACCCCAGGTCATCTCAAGATCCCTAGTACTCAGTGGCGGGACGGGTATAGAAAGTATCTGTATATGTAGAAGACGAGAGGGACAGGCCTAGGGACAATATTGGCCAAATAGGGATAATTATTGGCCAGAGTAAGTAGCCATAGAGAAATCACGGTCGTGGTCGTGGGGTCGTGTGGCGTAGCGGCAGCTCGACTCGGAATCAAGAGGTCCCGGGTTCGAGTCCTTACATGCCACCGATCTTGTGCCCTTGGGAATGGCACTTAACACGACTTCCCTCACTTCACTCAGGTGAAAATGAGTACTGTATTGTCCCCTGTGTTGGTGGCGGCATTAATATAAGTTGAAAAAACTTGAGTGTGCTGTCACCACGTCTTGTGATTAGATGTTGGAATATTAAAAAAAACAAGAGCGGCTATTCTCTAGCATATCATTCTCCCTATTTGGCCAGTGTGGTCTTTTAGAGACTAGCGAATACACACGTGGCTACAAAATCAAGAAACATGTCGTCAATCTTAACAACCTTTTGTCACCTTACAAGAACGGTTACGTGCAGGCAGCAGCGTTTTGGTCTCCATTGGAAAGATAGTGGTGATTTATGGTTAAGTTCTAGGGGAGTCTGTCGCGGTTCTGTCTTGGTAGATAGGGGTCGCAAATTATTGGCCAATATCACGACATGGCCAACTGGCAGCAATTAGATCCCAATCAACCTCAGGCCCGGGCGTACAAACTAGCACGCGAGGCGCGGGAAACCAGGCCAAGGTTTGGATAGGTGACGGACAGGCATGGAATTCAGGCGGGACCTTCTGGAGATAGAACTACTTATAAGGCCACACCAATTTTATTTGTTTGATTCTTTGATTTTTTGTAGAAAAAATATGAAGCGACAGGGCGAAAAGAATAAAAACAGGTCTAGGCATCATATTATAGCCCCAAATGCTTCAATAGGGGCCATGAAGTCAACACAAAAGGCTGGGTTAAAATTCAAACAATGAATTTTGAACTTTTAATCAAACCACTGCATTGATAGATGGAAAAACTGCAACAACTAGGAAGAAAAGGAATTTCCTCAACTGTTGGGGGCAAAATATGAGCATTTTTAGTTGATTCAGAAGCAGAATCTTTTTTCTTTGGCAAATCAGAAAAAAATGAAGAGGTGAATCCGAGAACCAACAAATTAAATTGGTGTGGCCTAAGCTTATACGAAGTAAGAATTGGGTGGATACCTTTTCTTAGGTGAACTGGTTTCTGCATATAACGTTATACCTAATGATACCAAAGAAATGTACAATGCATTTCAAATGGACAGAAACGGTAAAAAAAGGGCAGTGTGGTATATGATTTTACTATTGACAGTTTAATATCTGTTCTTCACATCGTATCTCACACAAGTGTCTGGATCTTTCTGGACATATACGAGACACTCTATAGTACATAAAGACGGTGATTCTTTTGACATACATGTAGTAAGTCGAATCAGCCCATTCCCAAAGCACACTGATATATCTGTGAGACAAAAATGCGATGTCGTTGACAGAAAACGGTTGCTTGTTTTATATCGTAGGCTGGTTCTATGCATTTATTGGTGGTATCCAAAAAGGTAAAGAGACTATTCATGTAACTTGTTTGGGGGCTATTTTAAACGCTTTAAGTATGAAATTATGACAGAAATGTGCTAAGAAATGACAGTAAATGTCAATGTTAGATGGATTTTTTTCATCCAGAATTTCTTGGTTGTTTTTTTTTTTTGCCGCCCTTAAATTGCATAGGATGCCTTTAACTAGCAGTTAACAAGTTGCAGTGTGCTTTAAACACTTCAACCCAGCAGTGTTGTGGTGGTTACTGTTTCACCATGCAGCGGGGGATCATAGGATGTACCGTGGAGAGCCACATCCCTGCTCCCTGACGAACACGGACGGATTTAACGCCCTATTTTGGTAGGCGTCGCCGCGCACATTGCTTGTCGCCGCGGCCGCTTTGATCGCGCCCTGCTATCCTGCAATTGGAGACGGTAATGAAGTGTCTGTCCGTCGGGAAACGTCGGCCCCCCGTCGGGATGAAGTCACCGGTGTCATCCGCTCCCATTCCCGGTACACAACAATGTTCTCAGCGGTAGAAACTGCGGTAGAAAAAGGCGCGGGGCTATCCCCCATTTTTGTCAGCGTCTACGAAAGGAAAGGATTTCACTTCTGTAATACTTTGATCCATGTCTTTCTACAACTTTGCGATTGATCAAATCTACTATAAATCTTCAAAGCAAACATATACATTACTAGTATTCCATGCGTTATACAACTATCATTATGATAACAAGTACTTTCACCACAAAATCACACAGATGATAGCTAATAGAACCTATTAATCGAATTTATTGCCGTTGTAAACACAATACTTTACAAGAATAAAGCACAACATTTTGACAGGACTTATCATTAGCTCTAAACTATGAAATGTAAATCCTGGATTGGTATCTGCGTATGGTTATTAAACAGTTCATCTCAAATGCCACTTGACAATATAAGTATTTTGTGAAGGTCAAGTACGGAGTAATTACCATTAATTTTCGTCCCTGACTTGCCGTAAAAGTAAATTTGCGTGAAGTGAACCGCTGTGAGGATTTTGGCTGACATAGCCGACAGACGATATGACTGTAGGACCGCCCATGGGGGAGGGACATCATACAGCCCATATTAGTTCTTTATTGGGAACTAATATGTATGTCAAAAGTGTAATCGTGCCTAGGCTATGTTGACGTCCAACTGTGACACCGTAGATCAAACGATAGAAATGCAGACATGTGGTGGACCTTGTCAAGTCAAGGCCTTGCACAAGCGTTTAATATATAGTCATAGTCAGACTCTAAAGTACAGTACTACAACAACTCAACACATATCGGTGGGGCAGACAGACAACAAAATGAGAATTCTAGCACATCGTACCCACCCTACAGACACACGAAAGGCCTCCTTGCTTGCTGAACTATTAAAGACCTTGTAGTAAGATATTAGATGATAGTTCTTTGAAAAGAGAGATGCTGGAAGGTACAAGATGTATAAACACGTCATGAAATATACCGAGCCTGATAAATGATACTTCAGAGACAGGAGTTTTTTCAGAAGAGTATCGCCTGGGGTGAGGGATTCTGTTTGATATTAAATTGTTTCTTCTCATTTCCTGTCCATATCGGCGGTTCGGTAGGGTCCCCGTGTTGTAGTGTTTGATCTGAGGGTCCCTTGTTGTGATGTTCCCGGTGTTTTAATTTCGTTTAACCGGGGGCACCGCTATCATCTCCCGCACACCAGCCCGCCGAGCTCTCCCTGCCTCGTGCTACCGTGCCCCGAAACTGTCAGAACCCGCGCGCTGATGGATGGACCAGGCTTAAGTCTAAATAAATTGTCACTTGGCACTAAAGTCGGGGTCACTATCATCCGGCAAAAACCTGTCGCACATCCGGGCTCTCACGTGCGGGGTGCGCCCCGTAAAAGTCCGCGCTATTTGTAATGCCCGACGCGAAATGTCGCTTTAAGGTACGTGAGACTGGAGACAGGATATCTGCACACTGCACTGGCGATAAATTGTCCTGGGCCACAGCATGCCGGATTATGAGAGAACCATCTATTTTCTGACAAGCCTCGAGTTAGAGAGAGAGAGAGCGAGAGCGAGCGAGCGAGAGAGAGAGACTGAGAGGGAGAGAGAGAGGGAGGAGGGGGAGGGAAGAGACTGAGAGAGAGGGAGAGACAGAGAGAGA